TCCATAAAATGTCTATGACTCCCAGCATCTGCACTCCTGACACATGAATCATTCTACATCGTTAGTTAACTGTATATCCAGGTTTTATCACTAAACATACTAGAGGCTCCCCAAAAATGTTTGATAATGGCCTCTTCTCCATATAGTCTTCTAAGTGGGAGGAAGACATCACATAAACTACCAAGGGAAGGTAGGACAATAGCCTAACCTATGACCACCCCGGGTATAGGCAATCAGGTATGCCATGCTGAGAAATGACTTCATGAAAATGTAGGGATTCTGAGGATTACCAGCAAGGCCTCAGTAGGCTTACAGGCCACTTAAGAAAAGAGAACAGAAAGGAAAGGGTATCAGAGCTAGGCATACACATGTCAGTGAAACCAGGAAGAGGGGGCATGGGTAGGGCACTGCTCTAGGCTCTCTTGGGACTCTACAGAGGCCAAAGCCCTTGAGTTGCTTGACACACGCTCCACTAAGCCACTATGAGTTATGGGTTAATTTGGGTTCAAGAGTCAGATTCTGGGATGAAGATTCCTGCCCAAAAGATTTGTTAGGTAGTGTTCCTAGGAAAGGCTAGTAGAGCAGTTGGGAAGTGAGACAAGGAAAGGAAGCCAAGCAAGAGTACAATGCTAAAGAATGCCCCAAGCAGAATAACTCTAGCTCAGCCTTGCAGAAGAACTGTGGAAGCTACAGATCATGCTTTAGAGTTGTCCCATTCCCAAAGCTGGGGAAGGAGGGAAGGAGGGAAGGAGGGAAGGAGGGAAGGAGGGAAGGAGGCAGGGAGGTAGGGAGGCAGGGATGATGAGGAGTTGTTTTAATATTCCAATTATTTATGGATTTCTCCCTTTACAGAGGATGTAAACTCCCAAACTCTGCACAGACAAAGGTGGGAAGTACTGACATATTTACAAAGAAGCTGGCTACTGACAGAAATGGCCAAGGCAGTATGAGAGAAGGGAGTAAAGGGGAGACAAGAAACAGTAACAACATCCACTGCCATGGCTTGTCAAGTCCTCAAGACTTTAGCCCTGTGGGGGTCACAGGGCAGGTGTTTCCTTTTAACAATATACAGTTGTAAGAGTTTGTATCTCTCAGATCGGTTGCATCCTCCAAAGGGTTACTACCATGCCACTTTTCCAAACAAAGAGCATCACTCAGGAGCATCACTAACACTTGCCACATATCTACTGCTTCAGTCAAAGACAGACTCATCAGTCCCTCCAAAGATAAGGGCAGAAAAAGAAAGTTTCTAGCTGCCTCAGAAACTTGGGGGAAACCTACTTATTGAGTCTTGAGTGAGGGAAAATTAGAGGACACCTAATTTTACAGGGCTTCTGTTTTTCAAAGGATGTTGCCCAAATCAACACCCTTGATACAGGCCTCTGTGTTCAAACCTGCCATATACAGGATGGGCCCACCAGCAAAGTAACCTCCTCGCAACACTCAAAACTCTGCTGTGGGGAGCTCAGAAAAGAGTGCTTATCTAATATATACATGTAAGGCCTGCCTGGGGTTTGATCCTCAACATGCGTGTGCATGCACATACACATGCACATATACACACACACCAAAGGACACTGCTTGGACATCAGACACTACCCATCAGTTAAAAGCCAAGCAGGAAAAACGATTATACAAAGACACTGGTTTCAAGGGCCAGTCAAATAGATCAGCAGATTAAAGCGCCTGAAAGCAGGCACATGGGGTGGGAGTTCCATCCCTGGGCCTGCGGTGCCAACCCTGCCCCTCAGCGCAGCTGAGACTGCAATTGAGACTGGGCATAGTGGCACGCGCCTATAATCCTAGCTCTTGGGAGGCTGTAAACAGGCATATCACTATGAGTCCAATCTAGCAGTGAGACCCTAACCACCCTGTAGACCCTTCCCTAAAATACAAAATAATAATGATAAAATAAAAAAATAATGAAGACACTGGTTTCAGTCTGATGACTTCCCAGTTACTACTGGTTAGAGTCAAAGTAGCATACTGAAAATGTCAGTATTTGAAATAGTATTTAAATTTTTCATCCAGAATAATTTCCAAACTGAGGGAGGATATATAATATATATATATATGTTTTTATTTTAAAAATTAGGCTATTTTTCTCTGCAAACCCTGGAGCCACATTATGTCCAAGCTAGCGTGTGCTTTGGCTTCTTTCTGGGCCCTGTACAAATCAAGCCCACATGGTTTTCTGGAGGGCTGGAAGCCCAGCACTAACACTTGCCACATATCTTGGCTCCACCTTTCTGTGAGAATAAATGAGGCCAACCCACCTTGACCTCACCCTGAGATTGTCTGGAAGGACTCTGATCCCCTTTCTCTGTCCTCACTACAAAGCAAGTAATTTCTCTAAGGTGAGGTTCTAGGTCTTCTGAAAACAGGAGTCTCTTTATTAATGGGAAGTGCCTTTCGCCACTCACAAAAATCAATGTGCCCCTCAAAAGTCACATAATATTCAAGCCTACAATTGAAATGACAGAGAAGATCAAGAAAACAGTAAATTGGAGAGAGAGAAAATACCTTTTCTTGGATAACTAAAAAGACACTAATATAGCAATCTCTTGCCTGGAAATAATTTAATACTCAAGGCTAATATATACTGTAGATTTAAATGTTCATATTCCAATCATATTGTCCAAATACATCTCTAAAGCCAAAAGTATGAACAACAAAAACTTTGAAATTTCCATTCCCTGAGCACTTATAATGTGCAATTTCTATTGTGCATAATACATTAATGCACATGCCTGGACCCAGTGTTTATCACTTCAGAACACCTCACTAGCAGGTGAAACTGAAAAGGGAACATTGGTTATTTCAGTAATACATGAAAATGGACAAATCATCTCTAAGAAACAAAGCAAATCTGAGTAGTAGGCACAATTTCTCTGTATAATTTATGAATCATATGCCTAGGATAATCCAGCCTGGCAAGTGGGGTTATAATGGTTAGGAAACAACAGTAGCACTTCTCATATAAGGTCTAAGCATGCTTAACTCTGCCAGAAAGAATAACACCTGCTCAAAACACAAGCGTATTGCTTAAAAGAAGAAAAAAAAAATCTCAACTTTCCACTCAAAGACTGAAAGATGATTAAGAACTAGAAACCCCTTAACAGGGCAAGATACAGTCCACCAGTTGGTTTCATTATGCCAAGCCGAAGAAGTTACTTTTCAATGTGTTCGGCAGCCTTCCAGGATCTTTTCTTGGTAACACCGGTTTTATCCGTGTTTCCACAACTGAAGAAAAACTATGCTGAAATCCCTAGAGCTCAGACTCCCACTAATTCATCTTTCCTAATAGTTAATATGCAATACATTTGTTTCTAACTAAATTCAGTGTTTCCCCTTCAAAGTGATCTATCTTTAATAAGCAGTCCAGTGTGCTTTGTTTTTCAAAAACCTAGGGCTCCAAAAAATACGATGCATTCAATAGTCCATTAGCTTCATACAGTATATGGTAACTAAATATTGTGTTCTTTGCATGCTACAATACACGGCGCTGGTTATGTTTAATTAAGTCCCTCGTTTTCCTTAGGAACGCAGGTTGCACCTCCGTGCACTTCGACGGCACACATCTCCACTCTCAACTCTCGGGTTCAGGTTTTCTCCCCTTCCTTCACTGGTTTCCGGTTCCCATACCCAGTTACTGATAATCCGAGTTGGGAAAGAACTGCAAGTGGTAGTTCTGAGGACTTCTCCCCACACCTCCACAGTGGAAGAGCGCTTTCCCAAAGTCAGCTTTGCCTGAGCTCCCGCCCTGGACAGCACCTTCGCCACTTCTCTCGCAGTCTTGCCCTTCGGTGACAGCTACAGGGATGGGGAGGGGGGGACTGGTGGGTCCAAAGTTGGTCTCCGAAGCAGGTGAGGCGCTGCCCCCAACCAGATGACGGTCTCCTGGACCGCTTACGAACGCCAACCCTTGCTGGTCCACTCCCTCTTCGAGAGAAAGGGGAAATTTTCTAAATTCCTGAAACTAAGGGTGGGCAGCCCGACAAGCAGAAGAGCTCCCCCAAGCGCTGGACAGCAGCGAGCAACCGCCAGGTGAGGACGCGGAAGTAGCTCTTCCCACCCCGCCCAGACCTGTCTGCCCGCGCCGGCGTCTCCAGAATCGCTGGCTCTCCCACACGACGCGCACACGCTGCGTGCACTGAGCCTTCTGCCCGCCGGCGAGCGCGCAGGGCACTGTCCAATGTGGCCGCGCCACCAGAAAAGACGAACAGCAAGAGCAGGCATCGGGATATCCGAAACTTAAATCAGGCACGGGGCAGGGGCTCAAGGACCTTTCATCGCTCGGGGGAGCGGCGGCTGCTCCCGAACTAACCTCAGCGCCTACCGCGGAACCCAGGCGTCCCCGCGCGGCCGCACCTGTTCCCAGCTCGGAGCCGGAGCGCCCACGCTGACCTTGAGGACATCCTGAAAACCCACCCACCCCCGTCTGGCTCGAGGCTGTCCTACCCCTTCTTGCAATCACTGAAGCCCGCTCAGTACCCTCCCAAGGGGCGGGGAGGGGGGCTCAAATTGCCCATCGCCAGCAAATTAAGAATGTGCTTCCCCAGAGACCCTGGAGCACCTCTCGGCTCTCAGCCCACGCTCCTTGCTCCAGCCGCGCGCCCGGCCAAGTTCAGAGTCCGCCGCCGGGTCGCGGCGCCGCGGGCACCTGGGCAGGGTCCCCGAGTGAGCACGGCGGGGACCCGCCGGGTGCCACACTGGGGTCTGACCCCGGGCCCCGCTCCCAGTTGGCGGAGACGCCCCCCGAGTCCGGGAACCCAGCTGCGGCGAAGGCTGGGTGCGGAAAACCCGGGGGGGCGGCGTGGAGTGGCGACAGCCGCGGTGCTGAGCGTGGCGGCCGGTCGGAGCACAGGACTCCCGCGGCCGCCAAACTTTTCCGCCGTAGAAGTTAGGGGCGCCGAGGACTGGGGCGAGGGGAGGCCGGCGAGGGGCGCCCGCCCCGGCGCCTCACCTGCGCGGCGGCCTCGTCCGTGGCCCGCACTCACCTGGCTGTAGAGCTCGCCCACCGACATGGCCCGGCCCGCTCCGCGCTCGCGGGCTCCCGCGCCTGCCTGCTTGCCCACCCGGGACGCCGGTCCACGCCGCCCGCTGTTCCGCGGCTCAGTCCGCGGCCGGCCCTCCTGGCGCCATCTTCCTGGACCGGTCCGGAGTTTCTCCCCTGCGCCGGCTCCTCCGCCCCGACCTGCCCAGCCGGCTTCCTGGAGGCACAGCGGCCGGCTCGACCTTTACTCCCGCGGCGGCGCAGCTGCGGCCGAGCAGGAGTTGCGGGTGGGCGGGGGCGAGGCCGCGCTCCGCCGCTCCCCGCTCAGGTATGGGGAGGAGGTGCGAGCGCTCCCGCGAGGGCGAGCTAGCGAGGGAAGAGCAGAGCAGAGCAGAGCGGAGCTGAGCGGAGCGGCGCGTCGCCGTCGCCGTCGCCGTCGCCACCAACGCCGCCTTTGAGCCCTCTGCACTCCGGCAACCACAGGGTCCTGCGGCCGGGGGCGGGGCCGGCGAGGTGCGGCGCCCTCTGCTGGACGCTGGGCACAAACTGGCACAGGTGTGCGCCGCCCAGAGCACCTGCCGCACCGCGTCGGTCTTCCTTCCATCCGGGCTGTGTCCTGCTGAGGATGGGTAAGGATTCGGGGGAACAGGGAGCTTGTCCGAACTCTAAACTAGAGCTGAGACTATAGTTCAGTGGGAGAGCCTCCGCCCCAGAAGCCAGTCTCAGCTGCATCCCATTTAAGACCTTGCCAATGGGGCGGGGAGGGGTGGGTGAGAGACCGTGCCAATGGAATATAAGACTCAACTGTGCCGTCCTTAGCGTCGAGCCTGCCTAAGGAGCCTCATCTCCAGTAATTCTGATTCGTTGGTGAAGGACAGGACCTGGGTCTCCAAATTTTTAAAGCTCCTCTTTTTTCCCTCGTTTTCGCAGCCTCTCCATTCATATTTTCTCAACTTCCTTTTCTAACCCTACTTCCTCTTTCTGGTTCCCGAATAAAAATGCGTCCCATATCCTAGAATTTATCATCTCTCCATGCCCCCTGTTATCCCTCAGCATGACACTGTCAAACTGAAGTCTAACCTTGCTGTAGCCCCACCTTTCCACCCGCCAGATCCACCTTGCTAGTAACCCTACTAATTAAGGACCAGCCCCAACCCATTCGTGCTGTCCCCTCCCCTTTCTGGCCGGCTCCCAGCACACCTGGCACAAATTAAAAGCAGAATTCATGTTGATGGAACTGTATCCTATTCTTGATGGGAATACTTAGCCTTGGCTAGAGCTTTGTGAATTCCTAATCCCTCAATTAGATATGATCTTTCCCTCCTTTGAATAACAATAATGACATTTTCAAACTTTCTTTCAGGAACATGCCAAGCATTTTGCTCCTGTAATCTTGATGGAGTCTGAGAGCATCCTTAGAAAGGAGATTCAGAACATTTCACAGACAAGCAAAAAGGAAAAAATTCTATGACTACTATTCGGTTAGTCTCTAGACTCTAAGCACTTGCTTATACTAGCTAATGATTATTGAACTTCATGATGTGTATCAGGATTAAGGGAACTTCAGGGGATGCTAACTTTGTTGGCCAGTTTGTCAGTGAGTCTGAATGTTTAACAAACACCCCAGTTGGTGTAGGGTGGCCGGGGTATAGAAACATTCTATGTTCATGCTCAGCCAAAGTAAGAACATATCTGATGGGAATGACTTGGTTTCTCTCCTTATAGGTGAGAGTTTTACATAATGTGCAAATAAGGAAAACTTTAAACTTACAAAGCATTCATTTGCATCTCTTAAAGTGCTCCCTATTACTGTCCATAGATAGATAGATAGATAGATAGATAGATAGATAGATAGATGATAGATAGATAGATAGATAGATATCCTTTTCTCTTCTCACCCTCAGATCAAAAGGTCTCAGGAACCACACCTACTCTGCATTTGTACCAGTCTTAGAACAATGACTTACAGAATACAGATCTGAATAAATAAGTGAGTTAAGCTAAGTTTGAGTCAGGTCTTAAGGAAATACTGCTCATGATTTGGTAGGAGAGAGGGGCAGAAGGGATTGCTTGGCAGGAAAATTAGTATAAGCAAAGAAAGAAAGAGGAGGGAAGGAGTTCACCTAAGAAGCCCTGTTATCAACTGGCAATTACATGAAAGTGCTTTGTAAACTATAAATCAGTACCCGTGACAGTTAAAATTATTTTCTTCTATTCTCTCTCTCTCTCCAAAACACTCATATCTTCTCCCTTTCCTTCCCTATTTGAACATACACACACACGGAAAACTACACAAAGCATTAACTAGCACCCCCATCTCTGTCCTGGCTGAGGAGCAGGCAGCAGAGATAGGCGTGGAGAGGAGCACATGTTGAAGTCTCTGCTACAGAGCTCTGAGCTGTGCTTTTCCCTCCCAGCTTGCTTCTCTACTGAGTACTGGCACTGCTCATTCTCAGCCCAACAGCTCCCCTGTCTGCTCACACCTCTGTGCATGCCTCTGCACCCTGCAGATGAAAAGACTAGCCTCTCAGGCACCTTTAAGTTGGGATCTGTGTCATTCAGGATTGCTAGTTTCCATGCAGCAACTTATCCCAAAATCTCACTGCCTTAAACATAAACAGTGTTTGTTGCTTATTACTATATATGCCGTAAGTTGGATGCAGCTCTGTTCCACACCATCTTTCCTGTGGGCATCCATCTGGAAGACTGTCAGTATTATGGCAAAGAGAAAGGTGGCATAATGAACTGTAGTTCCGAAAGCTTCTTCTCAGAGGCATTCATTCACATCTCACTGGCCAGAACAAGACCCAAGGCTACCTGTGATTCCATCACTGTCCTCTCCCAAGTCAAAGAAATGAATCCTTGACCTGGATGAAGAGCCACCAAAGTGGAATATAAGCTCCCTAAGAGTAAAGAAGGACTTTTGCCAGCAGGGAAAGATAGCAGGAAAGTAGATTTGTCCCTATGCAGAAACTTGGGCATAGACTCACTGACCCAAAATCATAGTTTTTAGATGAAAGTCATCTAGGTCAATGTGCAACGCAGGAATTCTCAGCCTGGGATGGGGCTGTACCCCAGTTATGATGTGCTTGCCTAGCATGATGCTGGAGACTGGATTCAATTCTGTAGCATAGCATAAACTGAAAGAAATAATGTGCATTTTGTGACATGTATCAAGATACAGGTGCTAGTTGCATAGCACAGCGATCAGGGATCTTGCTGCCATGTGAGGCAGCTGCCATTGTCACGGAACTTCCGGAGGTCCTTTTTAGGGGTCCATGTTGTGTGAGCCCTAAGTCAGATTGTGATTCATTCTATCTCTTCTGTAGATTCTGAGTGTTGGGATGAACCTTATGGACTTTAATCAAGAAATGTAGCTATGATTGAAATTATATAGAGTAATCATTAAAATTGTATTCTCTAACAGGCAGTCATTAAATCACTGTGGTATGCTGCTTGGGAATTGACTGCTAATGATCTTTACATCTTCGTTTCTACCCCCCATATAATCTCTTCCCTTTGTACGTGGGTCAGACTGAATGATTTGTTTCTAGCAATAAAATAGAGCAAAGTAGTGGGATGTCACTTACATTGGTAAATAATAAGTGACTGTAACGCTTGTCTTATTGGTACTCTGGTTCTTGTTGTACACTCGTCCTGAGGAGTCCATGTGGACAGGAGCATATGGCAAGATCTGAGGGTAGCATCAGTGCAATGCCCCTCATGACCTGGATCTTCCTAACAACTATGTGAGTGAGCTTGGATGTGGATTGCTTCTGAATGAGCCCAAAAACCCAGCTGACACTGAGTGTGTGTGTGTGTGTGTGTGTGTGTGTGTGTGTATGTGTGTTACTGGCAGTTGAACGCAGGGCTAAGCAAGTGCACTTTTATACCTTGAAGCAGAGGATCCTGGGAGCTGTGCCTAAATTAAAGACACTGTAAGACAATAGACTCTGTGACCCACAGAAACCATGAGATACTAAATGTATGTTGTTTTACACCATTAAGTTTGAGGGGAATGTGTTACATGGCAATAAAGAACTAACCCAGTCAGCTGTAAGAACATTATGTCAGCCATTTCTGTCCTCTTCTCCACAAGTTGGCCTGGCATGCTCCTGCCTGCTAAAGTAGCCAAGCTCAAGCTGAGCTTTGCTGTGCCCCATGGACTTCCAGACCCTGAGTCTCCATGTGTATTCCTTCCTAAGTGAATTGGCTAAAAGAGCAGGCCTGTAGGCATGAGAGGCTTATTTTCAGGGGCCTGTTCCCACCTTCCCTTCCCTCACTGCAGAGGGCAGGCAGGCTGCCAGTTTTGTGAGCAGGAGGGTAAGGCTTTGCCCAGGAAGCCAAACTTTCAGGACACCAAAGAAAAGACCAGTTAGCAACTGAATGCTGAGAAAGCTAGTATCTGAAGGAGGAGCCTCACATTCTTCTGCAGGCCAAGTGGGGGCCAGTTCTGTGCCATCAGCAAAATGGAAAAAAGACCTAATCCAGTGGTCAGCTGACAAGGCATTAAAAATAATCTTTGATGGATCACTGTGTGATTTTTGGTAACTCAGAAGGAATTGAAAGAAGTAAAGGCTACTGTTCTAACACAATTTATCTTCCCATCTATTTATCTATGTAAATAAGATTTCTCAGCACTTATGTATCTGACCAAAATACAAATAGATTTTTGAAGTTACATAACAAATAATAACATTTGTTATGATAATTCAATTCAGAATAATTTCAATACTTAGACAACTGGAAAATTTAAGATATGTCAATTCATATCCACATTTTTGTTATAGATTAGTATTACAGATGTCTATTTAGTGAGTGTCTAATACAAAACTATAAGATGAAAATAAAGAGGAAAGTGGAATAGAATTTCGCACTGTAGGAGAAAAAGTGAATATTTAAAAGGTTAACTTATTTATTGTTTTTAATTGGCAGTGGAAGTATGAAATTGCTATGGCAATTAGGGTCCCTTGGGTTCATTCCCTCCCCCCTTGGGTTTATTTAAATCATGATACAACAATTTGATTTTAAGGGACTATTTTAAGGGAAATCACATCTTTTCCAACTATTGAAACTAACAGTTGTTAACTTTTAATATGTGAAAACATACATGTTTTTTCAAGATTCATTTTGGGGCTCCAAGAACAAGAAATTCTGAAGCCTCCAGAGTAGAACACAGTTACTACATCCACAACCCCCAGATTAGGAACTTATTAGGAAACCAAGATTTAAAATGACATTAGCAGGTCCATGAAGATAGCTCAGAAGCTTAAGTGCCTGCCTGGCAAGCTCAAGGTCCCAAGTTCAATCCCCAGTACTGAAGAAAAACAAAACAAAACAAAAAAATACATTAGCAATTTATTTATAAATTCCTCCTAATAGCAAGC